CGGGTTATATCAATACTGATCTACACTTTTGGTCTAATGCAATCGCTATGGAATGGATATGATAGGCCACCGCATCCAATGTAGAGCGCACAAATCTATACGCAAACTGGTAGATATCGTTTTCAGGAGTGCTTGTACAAATCCGCAAAATTAGCTATTTTTCGAAAACTTTTAGAAGCGCTGTTTTGCACGCAATCGGGCGATACATTTAACATTCATTTTGGGTAACGGGGTAATACTGGCCGTTTTCCAGATATCCGGGACCACACCCGTAGTGAGGCACTTGTTAAAATGATCTGTTAAAGGCAGTGTGAGAGAATCGGAACACTTTTCTAAAGCTAATGATGTGAGACCATCCGGACCACTAGCTTTGTTTGATCTTAATCTATTAATGTCCTTGTGAAGGTTACTTTGATCGAACGGCGCGGCTGGACTTGAACAAATGAAGGAGGGCAAGAGGATGAGTTTAGTAAGGCGGAACTAAATTCAGAATTCAGTTTGTCCAAATCCACTTCATTGCTCGGGCTTCAGACCATGTTACCAAAGAGCGGCCTCAAAAGTTATGATTGCTGAGAACCGCTTCGACGCACAAGTGGTTTAGCCATTTTAGCTCGGATTTAACTGTTGGGGTTAGGCTCTTAACACGAGTAGCCATCTTGCACTTGTAAGCCCATACTTTTATCCTTCGAAGTCGCTTTAACAGTTGTGATGCAAATCTACTATCCCCTAAGTAAATCGCTTCAACGGGGTAGCACTTATCAAAGCAATATTTGATGCAGTCTGTAAGCTTGTCACAATGAAGCAACAGGTCCTCGTTGTTGAAGACCGCAAAATCACTTAAAGAAAACATCGTCTGGAACTTTGTTATAGTTTCGAAAGAGCAATTTCGCCGTCTGATAATCTTGTAAGGGCGTCTAGTTAGCGTGAAGAAACTAGATCTACTGTATGTCATTGGATACGATTTTAAAGCACAATGGTCGGAGCTGTTCAAAGGAATCGGTTTCTGTATGGAAAACAGTTGCCATTTATTTGCGTATGCAGCGTACAACTGGATGTCTTGTCTGGTCGGAAAGTCACAGCTCTACCAGGCCAAGTGTCCTCCGGAATGTTGTATCTTTCTATTAAAACTGCCAGCAACATTATAGGCGGAACAATCTAGTTTCAGCACTAGCATTGAAGAAACATGGTCTTCAAAAAGCTTCAACTCTAACGCACATGTGTCAGGAGCAATGTAGACGTTTCTGGTGCTGACTGATTGAAAGCCAGTTAAGAACTTTGGTTTGCATTCACTTAAATGACAGCATATAAAGGTCAATGAATATGTGCATATTACCCTTGATGAGTTGCGCCAACATTGATTAACCTAGTTATAACACCACCACTAATAAACTAGGACTTTCCATGTCAGTCAGACCTTCAGGGGAAAATAACCGTCCAGTTGAATAACACCATTTTCCACATCACTGTGCAACGCACTTTTATGCAACAGAATGACTCTTGTATTTACATACTCATTTCACCGCATTATGGAACTGAGATCACTGATTTTATCAAGAAACGAACGCACACTACTGGAAGGTATCAATAGGGTTTGCACTTTATCGAGAGAACAACGACTGAGGCCAGTTTGTCAAGCAGCACTATGCTTTCGCTTTTTTCCAAGACGTAGCTTAATAGTTCGTTTATAGGTCTCCCTGACTTTATGACCGTATTCCGTGACGCATGGACTTCAGGAAGCAACGCGTAACGTTTTTAAATGATTGACGAAGTAGGGCATAATTTAAATTGAGACTTGTTCAAAAGAAACAAATTGTTTCAACCATACAAATAAAATATTAAACCCGCGTCCGGTAGTATAAAATAAGCTTCCAACGAGAAGAGCAACAGCGTTAATTAAAAGCTCCGCTCCAAGTAGTGCAGACTCCCTGGGCCCATTTTATTCCTGATCCACATAAACGAAGTGTCTCAGCTTCTTTTGTTGCATTGTGTGATGTTTGCAGACGACCCAAATATTTGGAGGGTCATTGATTCTCCCAACGACTGTGACGTCCTTCAGCGGGACCTCGACCGTCTATCCCGGTGGTCTGCAGCAGTTGACCTACTGGTCAACCCGGCCAAGTCCTCCTTTACGAGCCTGGGAAGGGCAGGTAATGGCCAACCACTCGATGCGTTCCACCAGTCCTGTAAAGGCTCTAGACATACTCTCACGCAGTGATCTGAAGTCTATAGACAACACGAACCAACTGTACGGAAACGGACTACACCTGTATCGGGCACTTAGACGTAGTTTCTGCACTTGGTCTGAAGAGATTGCCACCTGTCTGTTCTCTTCCTTGATAAGACCGGTGCATGAGTACAGCTCACGCGCCTATTGTCCGAGCACAATAGGTGGGATGCAAAGACTGGAATGGGTCCAGCATGTAACTACCCGGCTTATGCCCAGTTTATGGAGTATGTCGCACGAGGACCTATGTAGGAGACTAGAGCCTTATACACTGTCATATCGCCGTCTTCGAGTTGATCTCATTATGACGCTCCGGATACTGCACCTGGGCCACTGCTGCACGTTTGCGCACCGAGCGGCACATGCGGACAGCGGTACAAACTAGCGGTACCGGATTTAAAGCGCCTCGCTCACCCTCCATGTTTCGAGCGTCGAGTGGTGAAATAGTGGAACAAGTTGCCAGAGACGCTAGTCGAGGCGAAATCGGTGTCGGAATTTAAGTGATTACTTGAAATCCACTTTGCGGACTACTGGTATAGGGAGTGTATCGCACCCGGATGAGATGTAGTTCAGCTGTATTATGTTGCCACCGCGCAAGAATCAGTAACGTGATTCCGCGCATGTGCCCGATTCACCTCCGATAGAGCAACACAGCGTTATTTCTTCTCACTCTCTAATTTCAGTGTTCAGTATTCACACAACGCACTATGTTTCAGCAAACCAGTAGTGGCTATTACCAATCCCAATACCGCGTTTGCAACACATGGTTGGCGGCATCCGGTTTCGGATTTGCCTGTCACTGTGGCAAGCCACAGGACGCCTGCGCCTACAGAGGGACCATGGATGGCTTGCGCTGCACCACCCACAGCTCCAACCACATACCCCATATCCAGTGTAAACCCGAAGGAATAAGACCGGGAGGCATGCGGATGGGAACCACGTTTCATCAACGGAGCCGGCCCACACTACTTCACAGGCAAACACAAGCACGCTGTATTTGGGGAATCAACCGCACACAAGCCGGTGGCTGGACCGTAGTCCGCTCCACACTGAGTGCATGGAACCGCTCTTTGAGCCTAGCACGGCCACAAGAACCGTGCACCCCGTCCCCTCCAGCAACGAACAACTGTCTCCTGGAGCCAGTATGAACGATGTAGTGCGTAATAGACAGGTAGGCACCTTGTCAACATACACATCAAGCGCAACCATACCAGGGATATCAAACAACAGCCGTTCACTTTAAACGACAAGCTGAAATAAAATAAATCCAATAATGCATACAGATACGGTGGCATAACTCTTCGCTAAATTACCATATGAAGTAAGTTGGTTAGCAACAAATCCGTGATAAGTAAGAAATGTCCACAAGTTACTTAAAATGCTACAAACGCAACAAAATTACCGAAGATAAGCGCAATTAGTGTAAGCAACGTGGCCAGTTAATAGAACATTATTCAGGGAGGCAGAACAAACCAAATAAAGCGGAATGAAATTTATCCAGCTTAAAAAGACCTAGTTTAAGTGTAAGTTGGTTTAGCCCAACTGCGGTGAAGAAGCATCAAGAATGCAACATCAGCCTCAGCATGGGGCACTTGCAACACACACACGCCCAAAAACATCAAGTGGGCCTGTCGCTAGCTCCAGTGAAAGTGCACTGCGGCACACTAGCATAGTGAATAGTAGTGGTGGCGCTGGACCACGCCCTACTCGTGTTATTGGAAACAGGAGCCGCCATGCTGGAAAGCCGACTTGCTGCTGCACAAAGAAACTAGGGAGTTATAATTCGCCTCCACAGTGTAGCAAGCAACGACTCCTCACTGTTTAAGTGACTTGCCTAAGCTCTTCTCACGACGGACCTCTGCATAGCTTTGCTGAAACGCTTGCTACTTACTTATGCCCCCTCCATACTCTTTTCCTCCTCCTTTTACAATGTTCTCTGAGAGCGTTTCAACAATAACACCTTATCCATCTGTACTTGTTCACCCCAAGTGCTGGCCCGTAACCCTCAGGATTCCAAGCCTGCCTTTTAATCTGATGGCGCGGGTCCGAGCCTGCATAGAGACCTGGCGAACTTCGCAACGTCCTTAGCCTACCTGCTACTGGTGGTGGTTGCGTGCCAGCGAAGCGTCGGTACTGCGCACCGACTTACTGCTGATGCACTTTATCCCAAATTACTACGATAATCTTTATGTATTCGTCCACCCATTTCTCCTCCTTTCTAATCCCCATCGCACTATTGAATCTCACGGTAGGTGATTTGCTGCGGGAGACTCTAGAACTAATGTAAACACTGGGTGGAGGGTTGAAAAGTGCCAGGACTTTTTATGACTAATGACAATTAATATCGGTTCCCTGATGAAGAAGTTTGGTTTACTTCGTAAATTCATATGCTTGAATAAACCTGATCTAATTTTACTCATGCAAGCCTGGTGTCATGATTCCATGTCAAACCAACAACTTTCCACGAATGGTTATAAGCTTATTAGCAGTGGTCGAAGTCAAGGAAGAGGTGGTTGCATTATTTACTACTCGCAAAACCTCCGCGCCAGTGCATGCACACTTCCACCTATACGCCCCACTATTGACTCTGCTTGAGTGCGGCACAGTAGCTGAGGTGTTGCGGCACAGTAGCTGAGGTGTTTCCCACCTCTAGCTAACGTGTATGATGATGATGATGATGATGATGATGATGATGATGATGATGATGATGATGATGATGATGATGATGATGATGATGATGATGATGATGATGATGATGATGATGATGATGATGATGATGATGATGATGATGATGATGATGATGATGATGATGATGATGATGATGATGATGATGATGATGATGATGATGATGATGATGATGATGATGATGATGATGATGATGATGATGATGATGATGATGATGATGATGATGATGATGATGATGATGATGATGATGATGATGATGATGATGATGATGATGATGATGATGATGATGATGATGATGATGATGATGATGATGATGATGATGATGATGATGATGATGATGATGAGGATGAGGATGAGGATGAGGATGAGGATGATGATGATGATGATGATGATGATGATGATGATGATGATGATGATGATGATGATGATGATGATGATGATGATGATGATGACGATGATGATGATGATGATGATGATGATGATGATGATGATGCTGATGATGATGATGATGATGATGATGATGATGATGATGATGATGATGATGATGATGATGATGAGGATGAGGATGATGATGATGATGATGATGATGATGATGATGATGATGATGATGATGATGATGATGACGATGATGATGATGATGATGATGATGATGATGATGATGATGATGATGATGATGATGATGATGATGATGATGATGATGATGATGATGATGATGATGATGATGATGATGATGATGATGATGACTCTGCTTGAGTACCCTTACCCCTCACTGTAAAGCGAACGCTTGTAGGTTGTATACACCTCATACCTGTGGTCAACCTCGGTGATGAGAACCAGTTGGTTGATATTTTTGGTTGCACATCAGAACTCAGTTCTTTTGCTAAAGTTGTTGGCGGGGATTTTAACCTAGCCGATATCAGTTGGTTCAAATTAGTAACCAATGCGAAGTATGTTGAGTTCATAACCTTCTTCGTCACTAGTGGGTAGGCGCAAAATGTTCTCGTGGGTACCACAGGCAAAATATACTAGACCTACTTTTAACGTCAATCGTGTCCTCGATAAGTACAAACGTAATAAATGGTCTCCCTGGATGTGATCACACTCTAGTTCGAAGCAAACTTACAGCTAAACCTTCTCATGTGAGGTCAGTGATTGTCTATATGACTAATTAATCCTAATCTTAAACGATGGGCGTAATCGAGCACAGATATTAGAAGGCAAATGAAGTCGGACATAGCGGACTGTATTCGATAGGCTACAAAAAGACGTGTACGGCTGAAGCGAGGCAGGAGCGAATGTTAACGCGATAAGGTGCAGAGCTGACGAGTGTTGAGCGGGATGTACGCCGACATGTCCGTATTGTAAAGGGGATAAAACTAAAATAATAATGTACAACTGATCAGCAATAATATTGTACACAAAAGATAAGGGTTATCTTTTGGGGCGTTACAGGTGTTATTAGTGCCGCTTAAAGCGAGACTTGTTACAAAATCGGGTTAGAGGCTTAAATAAATGCTGCTGTCGTACCGACAGTAGGGATACGTAAAAGAGAAGAACGGATCGTGCGGGTTTGTACAATTGCAGTGAGTCCAAGTCGAGTCCGGTACGGTTGTTTCCCAAGGCTGCAGCGAGCGCTGAGCACGCGGACGAATTCGTGCGCATCAGCTGTCTGGTCGTCCGGTTGTGTGTGATGCGTCTTGCTACGAGATATGTCCGCTTTGTGTGGGTGTGAGGTGAAGTACCTTATCTATCACCCATAGTTGTCACTGCTATTTTGACCTATGCGCTGGGATCATGTTGTGTATTAAGTAGGCTTCTCCATGTAGGTTAAATAAAAGATTGCAATTCCAAAACATGCATGTTGTGGAAGTGGTAGACGGATCTAACCTTTCCAAACTCCCTGTGAAATGGCAACTGGGTAACTTTCTCCGCGCTACCTAGGGCTCAAAATTTGAACCCTTTCTTTCTTTTGCATGACATTCAGACAACCCTTGATGCCTTCTATAGTAACGGGACTAGGTGCTTAAACATGCTTATCTATAGTGATAGTACAGTGCCTAGGAGAACCTTTCGTAAGTATGTTGTCAGTGCAAAAGATAAATGGAAAAAACGTATGCTATCTCGAAGATATGAATGGACTCATCTCTGTAGCCTATTACTGAGGCTTTAACGCCTAATAGTTGGGGCGGATATGAGAATCCACACTTATACCAAAAACCAGAGCTATGAATGTACTTATACAAGACAGCAGTTCAGTGCTCTATTACGAAAAAGGAGCGGTGGAAAAACCCACCTACCCTACCATGCCGTCACACCTGAAGGCAAATGCATCCAGTCACCGAATGTTATAGCAGAAGCCTTTAGCTCCTATTCTGCTGAATCCTTTAACCTTGAAAAGGGACCGCTGGAATTACTAACCTCGCTAAACGTCTCAGCGATGGGTCTTAGTGATTCATATCGAGGTCATTCCCATCAGTCAGTCTGTTCGCGACTTGGGTTGGACATACTCCAGTTCGTTAAAGTATAGCGAACATAAAAATTACATCGTGACAAGGGCTAAGCAATTGCTTGGACTCATATGCCATCTGCTAAGCTTGAAAGAAACCAGACGAATGGCCCTGGCGTATATTAACGATAGCACACGTCTTATATGCTCGAACTGCCTGCTTTACGCCGATGATATCAAGGCGTGGAGGGCGATCAATACACTAGATATCACTGTAATGGATTTGTTCAACACTGGTCGCGATAGCTTAGACGAAAGTTGCGCGTGGCCTGAGCACTTCCACTATTCACACACGCATTCGGGTGACACGCTGAGTCTGCAATGACAGACAACGGTACGCACTTTGCCGGGAAACTAGACGCGCGAGAGTAGCATGCACTCGCAACAAACGACTATAGAACGGCGCACACGAGCACGTGATCACGCGGTCCCAACCACCCGCAAGAGGAGACAGGAGGAGACGAAGCGGACCTCTGAGAGTTCTCTGGCGACCTACAAAAGTCGAATCACAGTCGTCATAATGCTTCATTTTGTGGGTGAAATGAATCACCGCGTAGGGCGGGTGGTTTATGAAAGAACATTATTCACTTTAGCCCAGTTGCGTCCCGAATCAGAGTGGCTGGATCTGGCTACGTTGTGGGCAAGAATTGAGCTCTGCGTCTCGCAGCTTAGGTACTGGATTTTGTGGTGCATTTTTACGGGGTTACTTGACGTGCCTGCAACAATCGCATTACTTGAGGTTCATCTGAATAGGGTATACGCGTGGTCAATACAGAATCTACTTCGATTTAAAGTCGACAAATGTAGAGTGCTGTACCTACGGCACAACTTGGTGTACTTCTACACACTCAGCAACCAGCATCTTCAAACGTCTTCTGGCGAGAAGGATTTGGGAGTTTTGGTCCAGGTCGACCTTGGATGTTCGAATCAGGCTGTAACGGAGTCAAGAAGGGATATTTAACACCTTGATCTCCTGAAGCTTGCAGTGGGACGAGTCGACCCTTCGATTTTTCCACAAATTCTCGACTCATACATACGGCCACATGTGGAATACGCAATACAGGTCTGGCAGCCATGGCTGAGGTGAAATCTCACCGCCTTGGATATGCCTCAACACCGGGCAAACCCAAAGTGTCAAAGGTCTGTATAATTTGCCGTATGAAAGAAGGCTACAAGTGCTCGCGGTCTTCAGCAGACAGTATCGGCGCTTGCGCTTGGAGCACATATTGACTGACCAGATTTTGGGAGATTCCAACCACACCTGCCACTAGTTGCTAGAGCTCAGCCACAACAGCATTTTGAGAGGCCACCATCTCAAGCTGGCAGAGCAGTACAGTCGTTTAGAATGCAGTCTGAATTTCTTTTCCGTACGCGTTTGCAGAACGTGGAATGCCCTACCGGAATCTGTCATATGTGCTCACATGCTGGCAGAATTCAAATCCCGAGTTGACCGTGCACTTATTTCGCTGCGCCATCTTATGTGACTCATTACTCATGGATAAACACAAGTGCATGTAAGTGATTTCACTGGTGGTCAAACAATAGATTTCGTTCCTATTTTCACCTCCTTCATGTGTATACTAAGAGGAGACACGATTTCTACCAACATCTCGTTTGACGTCATTCCAAATGGATTTATCTTGGATTTACAGCTTATACTACGTATATCTCAGTGAGTTCACCAGTGTAAACCCAATTTTGCTAACACTATTTTATATTTTAATATTTCACCATGGTCATCCTACGGGACCTGTTAAGCATCAGCTTTTTTACCCGTATAAAACTATTGTTCCATTGTTCCATTGTTTCAAATCAACATGGTTATTGCTGTGTTGCGTTCATCAAGCTGCAATACCTTGACATGATAACCTTCAAAAAGCGCATATTTGGCTACTAGTCAATAGAGACAAGTGCAACGAGTTGAAACTTGTGTCTCTGTGGTTATGAAAATTATATTTAAATCTGTGCTTCCTCTACAAACTTTTGTGGCGGAAAGTATTTGTTGGAACTTAAATACTGCAATTTCGGGAATATACCAATTATGAGATGCGAGACAGCGAATGTATAATCTCCTTGCCTAGATTCAGGATTAACAAAATGTTCCACTTTCTTTGGTATGGCTCTATATAGAACAAACTGCCTAGAGATCATATGTAATGGATAAGTTGCATGTTCAACATAATGATATAGAATTATCTATTAAATGGCAGTGAAGTATTTTAAAAAGTTAATTTGACGGTGAAACACTGTATGAAGGTGGACAAGGCCATAACTATGAAGATGAACATCAACTGGAAGTAGCGCAAGCTGGATCATTCAGGCTGTGTTGTTTCAATCGCCTTCATCTACAGTTCCAAAACCCAATCTGTTATGAATATGGACACTATGCACCTTCACTTCATACTGACTATCTTCTGATTTGAGATCAATTGCATCAATAATTTATTGGTATGGGGACTAGGATATTTGCGTAACCCCTTCCTTAAACTGATCAATGCTTAACATTTGTTCTGTGGTTCGCTTCGTTACATTTTTTGTAACATTAACCATTTTCTTTTCCGGAGGGAATATCTCAAGAACATCTACTAAATTTCAGGGCCTGGAAATAGTAAATTATCTACTGTTCGAAAGCCTGCAACTAATGATAATTATGAAAATTCTCTTCAGTACATCCTTGCTTTTGCATACTTCGTGCCGGGGTCTGTTTTCGGCTGTCCAGCCGTACTATTTGGGCTTATAATCTGTCGATCTCTCGTTCACTGATGTGAAACATGCCTTTTGTTTACTTGTTGTCACTACGCTCATTTTTATTATTAATATTACTTTTAAGTTTCTTATCGCCTTCCTTATTTCACTGTTGGTTACGACTGAGCTGATCTTCCGAAGTGACTGATTGAAGATTCCAAACCCATGCAAGTCGCATTGCTACTGGTTCACTGGCGCATAATAAAAATGTGCCATGCTTGATAGAGCCCAATGACGGAAGGAGCAGGGGCCTCATTGTCCATAATGTATTCATAAAAGACAGCCCAAAAATTGTTAAACAGTTGATGGCTTACATGCTACGTTATCCCACCGACACACAAGTAGATGAAGCACGCAATTGCGGGTGAAATCTTTTGAGGGAAAATCACGCTTGGAAGTAGGACTGCTAGAAACGGTTCCGCGGATAGCCGTATAGTTTCACATGAATATCTGGTCATATCTGAATTTGTTATTGTTCCCATTTTCATAATCTTTCTAATAA